AATTGGAATTCGTATTTAATTCGGAATCGTATTGTTGATCAAATTTCCTTTTATGGTAATACGACCACATGTATGGTCTGTACCTTTCTTTTCACTACCGGAAAGATCCTATGAAACTTTTTCCCCCCTTGTGAAGGTATTTCCCGGGCAATACTTGATCAGAAAGTTTACCAATCAGATTATCTATCTTTTGACCTATGGGATGTAGTCTACCTATAAGGCTTCTTGATTACCGGAACAACCCAAATCGCTCTTTATTACGAGTCACAGGGACTAGTTGAGAAATGAATTATCCCTCAGCTGAAGTTGAACTATAGGTTATAGGTTAGCCCTACCCTGCCTTAACCCACTGGACTATGACCGGGTAGGTCTATTTGATAAAAGTTATTAAATTTTCAATATTTTATTAATTTATTTTTAATAATTTATTATTATAATAATGTATAAAATCTATAAAATTAAGCTTTAAATTATATAATTTTTTATATTAAATAATAAATTATTTAAAAAAAATTAAAAAAAAAACAAAAAAAAAACAAAAAAAAAAACAAAATTTCAGTGTTTTGACGATTTTCGTCAGTTACGATAGTCACGTAACTTTGATAAATTTAACGGTAATTAGGGATCTGTATAAGAGAAACTCTAGTTACGATAATCTTATTTAATTATAGGATTATCAATAACAAAATATAAATTTTATCATACTTTCTCTTATCGAGAGTTGACCATATAAGGATTTGAAGAAGAATGAAAAAAAGTCAATATATGTTTTTTTTTATTCGAGTGAAAAACTTAGGTATATGCTGATAAAAGATTATATCTTCAAAATAATAGGACAAGATAAAAAAAAGAAAACAGGAGATACATGCTTCATTTTATAAACTATTAGACAATGGTATTGATGATGGAAAATCGGTTCATGATCAAAAAAGAGTAAGTTAGTTGTTTTCACAGTTTTTTATGAATAATAATACTAAGATTTTTCGCTGACTTAGAAACAAACCAACAAAAATCTGACTAGTAACACCAATAAGGAGAACAAGGATATCTGTATTGAGGATGTGGATAATAATGAAAATGAAGTGAGAAGATTTAATGAGATATGTAACTGTGTAATATATTCTATAATTGTGACATTATTGATTTTTTTTCCACTATACAGGTGTCTTAGGGAATGTTGTTAAATACTTGGAATTAGTAGAAAAAAATTAATTAAATATATATATTTTATATATAGTACATCAGGAAATTTTTTGGTGGAGATCTCCGGAGATCTCCACCCATAAAAAAATTTTCGAAAATTTCCGGAAA